GTAAGTGCACAGCTTCTTCACTCATTTCAAAATAATAACTCTGGTCTCGTTATGACATAGAGTCGGTGCAAAGCTGGAGCATTACAATGTTGTTAAAAAAATAGAACCTATCATTCTGGAAATTCAACTGGTCTTAGCTGAACCTCAAAATACCTGTTCAAGTAGGCACCCGGAAGCTTTGGTGCCTATTCAAACCTCTTGGGTCTTAAAAATGTCTCAATATCTCATGAGATTAAGCTCTCACAAGATGCTCCTTACTTCCTGTTTTCATTTCAGCCAGAAATAGATTATAAATGGTATTTCCTATTCTGCTCCACCAGAAAAAGGAGTTCAGAAGTATTTGGTGTTGAAAAAAATTTTTTTCAGAGTATCTATCCAAGCTTCTTGAACTTCCCTAAAGGTTCAGTTGAAGTTTTAGGCAGGGGTTCAAGAAGCTATTGTTGGATCCAAACAACTTCATCCAACCCTATTCACAGTCTGGCTCTAAAAATTTCTTCAGACCTGAAACTTGGGATACAAAGTCACAACCCTGAAAATGATTTATTTACGCTAATTCTTCTAAATGCATTTGCTTTAAATTTATAAGAGCACAAGAAAAAGTCGGAACTTTGTGGTTTCCAGTGTTTCTAATATAAAAGTCTTATTTGGGATAAAGTATTACTGGCTTTTTAAAACGTGTGTTACATTTTTTTTGGCATTTAAGAATGAGTTTAACTAAGATTATGGTGGGAAAAAGGGAGAAATAGCAATTCAATTTATAATACTTTTGGATGAGGTTTCTAGGTAATAAATTTGATCTGATGAATCAATCCCTCTTTTGAAAACAAATCGCCTTTAACTGTTTACTCGACAGACTGTGGGGATTCTGGGAGAGTTCTTATTGCTTATTGGGTAGATAATGCATATTGCAGATGATGTGCAGATGATGTGCATTTTGATTAATATTTTCCCACTAGACTGCAACTGTTTCTATCTGTTAATTTTGATCTAATGGGAAAAGTGTGTTTCTGGGTAGTTTTAAGCTAGGACTTTTTAACAGTTAGCACATCAAAGATATGCTTTTCCATCAGCCTAAGTTCTGTTGCTGAAAGGAGCTTCTAAGTGAAGGTAGTATCTTAGAATGGTGCAGTACAAACAGGTGTGGAGATCTGTATCTTCCATCTATCCCCAAAGAAATCACAACATGAGCAAAACCAGTGCTTACATTCACACCTGCGTACTTCCCTTCTGACTGACAAGGGAGGGAATATTTAAATTTTCTTGGTCTTTCTGATTGGCTTGTTGCCAGTGTTACCCAATGTGGCGGTATTGACTGTGGTGCTTTTGGTGCTAATCATGTATTTTGAAAGCAGACATTATTTCATACAGTTTGCTGAAAAGTGATAACTGCAGTTGGGCTGCGTGCAGTCAGGATTAGAGTCTTAAAAGTGCTATTACAAATACAGGCCAGACAAAGTTACGGCAGAATATCATGAGAAGTAGGACTCTCAAGCTAAGATAAATGTTCAGCAAAATAAGAAATGAATGAATTAAGAACCTAGACTAAGTTCCAGATTTTCTAGCTGTTGTGAGCTGGTGTTATTCCACAGCATACAAGGAAGCGCTGCAGATTTGAACCAGATGACGATCTGGTTCTCTGTGCACAGTCTTTGAATTTGGAATTGTTTCATAGTAATGTCTTTAACGGATGTCTCAAGCGCAGATTTTGCAAATTTGGCAGATTTGGGCAGATTTTTATATCTTTGTAATGTATAAATGCAAATAGGTATGAAACTGTAAGGAAAAGCCGTTCGTTTTTTCTTTCCTGGGGTCTTCCTTCTCTCGTATTGCTTAGCAAAGATGGTCAAAAAAAAAAAGTGGGAATTTCAGGAACTTTTTCTGTTGTAATTAAAATGTAATGAAGTTACGTTACTGATGTTTTAATGGGAGTACGTATTTAAAACACTTTGTGAGGGAGACATCAGCCTATATCCCAACAAGAAAATAAGAAGAGTCTGCCTGCCTGAGAAACTTCTGCCTGATTTGTTTTATCCTCAAGTGATAGGGTGAATGAGATAGGCTTTGGAAATTACAGCTGCCATTGAGAACTAAGCCAAGTCTCACTGTATTTCAGAAAATGAAAATTATGTAGTCCTATACGAGGGAGGGGCCGAATCCCCAGGGCATCTGTTTCCCATCAGTGTCCCACCATGCTTGCAGTCTGGCTTGGCACTCTAACATTTAACCTTCCCGGCAGGAGGTAGACCATAGGGCAACAAGGCTGCAGAATAATGAAACAAGAGTGTAGTGTGGTGTACAAAGCCTTTGTAAGTACAGAAGTTGAGACATTAAATGATCAGGGTACAGAGATATGAAAGTTCCAGATTTTTCTAAAAAGACCCCATTAGTCTCGCACAGAAAGAATACCGAGCTGTTTCTCAGCAGGCAAAGGGAAGGCCTTTCCCCATCTATCCATGCCTTTTTGCCCGCTGCTTTCAACTATTATAAAGATACAATTACCTTGGGAGATTGTGGCAGTTCAGTTGATTAGCACGGTGAATTAAAAGAATGAGTCACAAATGACATGTCCAGCTCTTCTCTACTAGTCCTTTGTATTCCCAGTGTACCTCACCCCTGTTGTAAGAAGGTCAAAAATTAGAGAGAGATAACAATTTTCAAGCAGCTAGCACTTAGGAGCAGAATTAACAATCATTCTGTATGTAATTGCCAGTTAATAGTAAATTGCCTTCTAGACTGTAAAATGCAATATAAACTGGTGGGCACCTAAAATTAAATTAATGAGGTATTTGCTGCATTTAAAAGTGAATAGTGCAAATTAATAACTGGGTACAATACTTGTTTTAATACATTTCTAATAGCGCATCATTTGCTTGTTTAATAATAAATTTTAAAAGTGCTACCTGAAAAATTCTCTATTGGGTTAAAGCGAGTGGTTTGTACAGGTTGTAGCCATAATTTTGCTGGTAAAGTCTTCCAAGTTTCTAAATTAAATATCAGAGATTATTTTTTAATTAGAATATAAGCACTGCAGTGTTATTTGATTATGGCAAATTGTGATTTGTATGCTTCTAAATGAAATTATGTTACAGATAAAATTGCACTTTTATACACATATTTTAAGCTCTGTAGATTCTGTTGGTTTACTTGAAGATGAACAGCAGTACTGTATTTACAATGTATTTGTGCCACTGTGTTACCGTTTCCCCTACGTGTGTATTTTGCATAATGATTTCTTAGCAAATAAATACAGTCCTACCCAGTATCCATTAAAATAATTTCAGGAATGCTATTCAGCCTAACGTGACTGTGTCTCACTTGGTACTTCCCACATTGACCGCTTTCACCCTAATAGTTTTGTGGCGCACCCTTATTTTGATAACTTCTTTTGCTCAGTTAAAGAAATGACCACAAATTACCAGGAGACAACATATCATTTGCAGTAGACTGTACCCAGTTGCTGTACAAGGTATTGGCATTCAATTGCAAACATGTCCCAAACAGACATAGAAAAAGCTTGAATGTTGAATACATGGAACCATTCCCAGGTCTGCAATGCATTTGCTAGATGTGAACATAAAAATGATTATTTTGCACAAAGACTCGCATTCAATTTTAAGCTTATGAAACCATTACTCAACCAGTAATCGCTCAGAGTTTGTGTTCCTTCTGATAGAGTATTTATGTTGAAAAAGTAAGATTGCGCTCCGAGGCTGGCACAGTATCAAGGGGGGGAAGCCCTATTTAGTCACTACATTGTCCAGATTTTTCAGTTTGGCTCATTTCTGCCTCGGTATCAAGACGTCCACTTTGGCTGGTTTCCCTCAGCTAACCCCCACTCCACTTCACCCTCTGAAAGATCTCATGTTCCTGAAGTATTTTAGAGATCTTTTGTGTGCATTCAAATGTGATTCTGTCAATGGCGCTGTTACACTGTTTAGAGTCAATAGCTCCCTTCCATCACAGCCAACACAAACTAGCTGTCTCATAGGTCAGTGCTCTTTAAACAAATTACTTGTATCCACAGAGCAAATGATTGTTAATTGCCTCCCACAAATCATACTATTTTTACTATGCTAAACTAAATGCTAATGCCTTAGTTAAATTTAAATCACCTGATTATTTCTTGTACATATTCAATTATTGGTCTTTAGTATGAAATCTGGTGACTTTGCAAAATGCATGCTAAAAATGTATATAAAGGATACAGTACTTTATTACTTTATTGAAAAGCCTTTAAGAAAAGCTCACAGTTACATTTATTTTAATGAAATTCACAGCATTTCTTGTTCTTATATATTGCGTTTGCCTTTTTTTTTTTTTTTTTTTTTTTTAAGTGCTGTTGTCCTGAAGCAACTTACAGTCACAGTTATTGCACTATTGGTTATTTATTGATCAGACCTTGTGTCAGTATCGGTTGTTAGCAAGCTGAAGAAAATCAAGATAGAACAAATATTCTTGTCCTTTCTTCACGATGGTTCTTTCTAAGTCAGTCAAAGTTAGCATTAAAAAGATGAAACCAGAAAGTATCTATGATATTTTGTTAAACTGCTTTATTGCACTAAAGTAAAGACTATTTTTCTTAAAACAGCAATGTCAAAGGGAAAAAGATTCTGGTTAACTGTCTTGTCTTATAAAGAAGGTTTTCCAGCATGACATACATTTTTAATTAATAGGGCAATGCTAAACATACAGAAATGATTTAGTAGCATCAAGTCAATAACATACAGGATAATGTATATTATATAATAGCTCTTTTTTAAACAGTAGCAATTCCAGGTTTATCAGGGTCATTGTTGTCCCCTTTCTTTTCTGTCTCAAAGGAGGCCAGAAGAATGAGACATACCATTTGTGCTATTGCACAAGTAGACTATTTGTCCTAATCAGTGACACCCATTTACTAGAATTGCTTAAAATGAACTATACCTCATACAGAAATCGCACATTTAGAGTGTTCCATTCATCATCTGAAAATTGAGGGCCAGTAAACTTTTCTGTTCCTC